CTCCTAGAGAGAAGTGGTTACGAAGATCTGCTATAATGCGTTCTGCTTTTTGATGCCGATGTAATTTTTCTAGTAGAATTCCACTCAACGCTTCAGATCATCATGATGCGGAAGCAGAAATCTAAGTGTGTGTACTGCAGGAAGGATACTCATCCTACGGCAGTGATTGCAAGCAAGCTGAAATGCTACTAGTGACACTAAATGCCACTAATGAAACTTAACTGCTATCCATTATCATCATATCCGAAGGAGCCAACCCACCAAATCAACAATCGACCCTCTGTACAACTCGGTTGACCAATCACGGTCATGCTACAACCCTAGACAGGCATAAAGATCAGGTAGATCTCTCCAGATCTAATTACATTCTCATCAAGCGCCCGAAAAGTAACGCGAGGACGTATTAAAATCCGTTTTACTGAAATTAAAGGTCACAAGTTTTCAAACAGTCCCCAACTTATCTGATACTGTCATTATCTTCCTGGATGCTGTCGCTGCCTCTTTAGGATTGAGCTCCATCGCCAGCTTTAAGTAGGAAGTTGCTGAACAATTGGGAGCGGTTGTGTGCGAAGCCCGGAATTAGCGACGCAAGATACGAATTATCTCACTCCCACTCAATAAGCTGTGTAACTGGTCGCAGTGTTACCTCACAGAACATCTTCCACAGCACAAATCTTGTCAGGGAGGATGGCGCAAGCGCAAAAATCTCCCCCCTCTCCTCCGTCCCCTCCTTCCCTCCCACCACCAAATAACAACAAGCAAAAGAAAACACTCCAAAGCCTTCCCATTCCCCACCAGCAGCACCCCGTCACTCAACGAGCACTCCTTTTCCTCAACAACAACCCATCGGTTTAGCCAAATATTGATATTCAAAAGTTTATATCCGAAAGTTTTTGGCCCCACCAAAGAAGTGGCAACAAAAGGAGTAGCATAAAGAATACTTGTTTATACCCACAGCGGATTTATGTTACATGCATGTTGCATCTACGTTTGAATGTAGGGGGACAGGCAGTGAATCACAATACATGTAATGTTGCACAGGTATGCATGTTATATGCAACAAATGTGTTGCCATTCTTCTAGTCATGTGTGATGCGTCAAAAAAGACGAGGCGAGGGAGAATCATACATTGGAGG